TCAAAAAATAAAAATAAAAGTGTCCCCAAATTCATTGAAAAAATCTGGTACCCATACATTAGGAAGACTTTTGTGGTGGTAAGAGTTTGGCAGTGGAACGGTCTCCCTCAGGAGGTTGTGGGTTCCTTCCTTGGAGGTTCTTGAGCAGAGTTTGGATGGCCATGTCTCAGAGATACTCTAGCTGCGATTCCTGCATTGCAGGGGCTGGAGAAGATGGTCCCTTCCAACTCTATGGTCCCTTCCAACTTTTTGATTGTATGGTGTGGCTCTAGGGGGCCCATCTGGGTGATGCCCCGAGTCTCTCCCAATTCTTGGGGTCCTGTGAGGGTTAGAATCTCGGAGAGGAGGTGGCAATGACCTTAGCAGGCCACGAGTGTCCTCATCCGCATCCCCCCGAAAATGAGCCAGGTTGCCAAAGCTACAATTAATGGATGGGTGCCCTCCAGGCTCATGGGAGGGGGGCCTTGCCTCCACTTTGTCACCTGCTAGGTAGGAGAACAGTTTTGGGGGGTGAGCTGAGCTGAAAGCAGATTGGAAGCTGGAGACACAGAGACCTGCTTGCTGTGTGTTGGATCCAAAACAGAAACTAATGGAGAAGCAAGATCTGCTGGGGTGCTACTGCTGGGAGCCCCCCCTGTCTTGGGCTCAGGTTGTCTATTTGTGTAGGTGAAACCACGTATCCTAAAGACACCACACACTCCACTGATCTCCAAGGAAACTGAATTCTGGGTCTGGAGCCTCTCTGGGCTCAGAGATTGCGACTCAACTCTCCCTGGAAGCCTGATGTAGTCAACTGTGGGTTGTGCAAGCATTGGGCCCAGACACTGGCTATGCAGTAGCGGGCAGTAGCTAGCAATTGGGAATGCACTTTGCACATGTTCTGAGGCATTGCTTTATTGTTGCTTTGCGTGTTTCCCAAGGGCAGAAATGGAGGAGTGCAGTCTCCCAGCAGAGTCGTGCTTTTGATGCACAAACTCCTTCTACTGTTTCCCTCCACCTTTGCCTAGATTCACTCCATAAGACGCACCTGACCATAAGGCGCACCTAGTTTTTAGAGGAGGAAAACAAGAAAAAAAATATTCTGAACGAAACAGTGGATGTCTGATTTTTGTGGTTCATGCTGTGGCCACAGACATGTGATTTGACAGTGAGTTTGGGGTAGCCCAATGCAAAAATCCTGAGAATCCATGTGGATCCGTGCTTTGTAACCACATTTTTGTGCCATTGCAGCCCCAGGCAACAGTAGGTGCATGCTTTTTTTGGTGCAGGCTGTAGCCATGGACATGCTGTGTGATCTGATGGTGAATTTGGAGTGACCCAATGCAAAAATCCTGCGGATCCATGGGTTTTTACCTCCCCCTCCCAGGCAGCCTCCTTTATTGCTAGCATCCCTTACCTCCCTCCCTGATCACTTGTCGATCAGCCGTTTCCTTTCAACACTCCCTTCCCTCTTTTTTTAAAAAAAAGCATGATCTGCTTTTTGCCCCTGGGCAATTCGGCTCCAGGGACCACGCATTCGCTTCATAAGACACACAGACATTTCCCCTTACTTTTTAGGAAGAAAAAAGTGTCTCTTATGGAGCGAAAAATACGGTAATTATTCTTTCCGTCTGAAATTTCGACGCCGATCCAACTTGCAACTTTAACCAAAGCAAGGGAGGAAGACGCTGAGCTCATGACGCTGCCCCCACGTGCCCAAAGACGTCTCGGAGACCACGCTTAGTTTGCAAAAAGATGTATTATTGTTATTCTCAGAATTATTATTTTATATCGTTTAACCCTTTCATTTACAGTATTGTACAGCTGGTTCGAAATACGAAAATACTCTGCGCCCCTCCGAAAGATAAGGCTTCCTTCCTGCTTCATTCCGCAGACACCACAGATGGGAGATTAAGCCAGGTTCGGCCGTACCTGCACCCTGCTGAGGTTTCGGACTACAACGCCCATCATCCATGCTGGCTGGAGCTGATGGGACTTGTAGTCCAAAACCTCTGGACAGCACCCAGATTGGCCAATCCTGGCTTAATCTTTCGCCAAACAAACCTTTCCTCCCCGCCCCCCAAAAACACAATAACATGAACACCCAAAAACCAGAATGCAAACACGAATGTTTATCCTAAGCGGCGAGTTCCACAGTTACCCAGAGCAAGTGAGGACAACGAAAAGAAATGATTATCATTAAGGCAAAAGTTCCCCCCCAAGCCAGCCATCTCTCTCTCTCTCTCTCTCTCTCTCTCTCCCTCCCTCCCCCCCCCCCTCTCCCTCCCCCCTCTCTCTCCCTCTCCCTCCCCCCTCTCCCTCCCCCACTCTCTCTCCCTCTCCCCCAGCAGCACCGGAGCACAGAGAGGAATTAGAAAGAACGACACTCTGCTTGCCTGGAGGGGAGGGGCTTTCCCTGCTCTTTGTTCCGTTTCAGCAATCACAGCAACAAAACAGAGAAGGGTGGGCAGTAAGACCCTGAGGCAGAATGCAGGAAAGCAGCCACTTCCTCTTTTCAGGTTTCCCTTCTCCGTGACTCGCGATTTGACTTTTGCCTGATTTTTTGGCTCCAGGGACCACACATTCGCTCTATAACACGCACAGACATTTCCCCTTCCTTTTTAGGAGAAAAAATCTGCGTGTTATAGAGGGAAAAATATGGTAATGAAAATGGGATTGTAAAGGATGAATCTTTTTTTTCTTTTTTTCTTTTTTTTGTTTTTTGTATTATTTGAAACTCTAATAAAATATTATTTTAAAAAAAGAAAAGAAAATCAATTAATGCGTTCCTATGGTCAAAAAAGTCCAATCAAAGCCAAATTTGGTACAACAAGAGTTTATTAAGTGCTCTTTAAAGTCACACATACTGTAAAGAGCATTTCAAAAATTGAAGGAACAATAATTTAAGTTTCGAAACATGACAGAAAAACATTTAAAAATCAACAAAGTGTACAGTACATTTTCTAAGACTCTGGGGGACAACTCGAAGAAGGTTCGTCTTCCACTCTTTGCTTCTTGCTAAAGAACCTGTCCATGGTCTGCTGCTTCATCCGCCTTTTCAGCACCTCCCTGAAAGGCGACATGACCCTCGTATCAAAAGTGTTCACAAGGTCATGTGCCACGTGCTTGTCAGGGTGGTGCCGCTGTGCAAAAGCCTGCACATCCTTCCACTTCAGGCAAATGTCCCTCAGTTCTTTGGAGGACAGCCGTTCCTCAGTTGCTTCCTCCTCTTCCAGCGAGGCCTGCTCCTGCGCAGCCTCTGCCTGCAGTTCGACCAGCTCCTGGGTGGTCAGCTCATGGTCGTGCTCCTTCACCAGCTCGCTGATGTCCTCCTCTGTGACCTCCAGCCCCATGGTCCTCCCCAAGGCAACAATGTCCTGCACCACTGTTGACTCTGGTGCATCAGAGTCACTTGGTGCCACACAGTCCGGCCACAGGCTGCGCCAAGCGCAATTCAAATTTCTCTGGCTGATCCCGTTCCAGGCCGTGGTGATCATCTTCAAGCAGGTGACGATGTCGAAGTGGTCCTTCCAGAATTCCCGCAGGGTGATGGTGGTGCAATCAGTCACCTCGAAGCATCGCCTGAAAAGCTCCTTGGTGTAGAGTTTTTTGAAATTGGCGATGAGCTGCTGATCCATCGGCTGGAGCAGTGCCGTGGTGTTAGGCGGCAGGAACATGATGCTGATGAAGCTGAACTCCTCCAGCAAGTCCACCTCAAGGCCTTTAGGATGAGCAGGAGCATTGTCCATCAGAAGCAAAGCCTTCAGCGGCAGGTCGTTGTCCAGCAGGTACTGTTTGACAGCAGGGCCAAAAGCATGATTGACCCAGTCCACAAACAGCACACGTGTGACCCAAGCCTTACTGTTGGATCGCCACATGACACTCAGCCGCTCCTTGTCGACCTTGTGTTTCTTGAAGGTCCGTGGGTTCTCCGAGTGGTACACCAGCAGGGGCTTGATCTTCAGGTTGCCGCTTGCGTTGGCACAGAAGAGCAGGGTCAGACGGTCCTTCATGGGCTTGTGGCCAGGCAACTTGGCCTCCTCCTGTGTGATGAAAGTCCTTTTGGGCATCCTCTTCCAAAACAGCCCGGTCTCGTCACAGTTGAAGACCTGCTGTGGAACGTAGCCCTCCGTCTTCACAACCTCCAGGAACTCCGCTGCAAAGTCTTCAGCTGCAGAAACATCAGAACTGGCAGCCTCTCCATGCCAGAAAAAAAACACACAAGCTTCCAGATTCTTGCAAACCCCTCCCCAACTGTTCCCCCAGCCACCCAGCACACAGAAATTCAAACCCATAATTTTTTTTAAAAAACAGCAGAGTGCCCCAATGGTCACAAAAAATCATAAAAATGCAGAAAAAACACACACACAAGCTTCCAGATTCTTGCAAACCCCTCCCCAACACCAAGTCCTTGAATTCCAAACACCCCAACCCAAAATCCAACCCCCCCAAAAAAAAGTTTTAAAAGCTTAACTCACCAAATGGCTGCAAAAGAAGTTTTGGAAAAGCTTCAAAAATCACCAAAGTCTTTTAAAACCTCAAAAAAGGCTACTATGTACACTGCGTTCTATGATTTGTTCCTCGAAGTCAAGTCGCAACTGTATTAACGGTGTTAAGAAAAAGGAAACAAACTTGCAAGACGATAGGGAAAATCGTCTTGCGAAGCAGCTCAAAAAATGGAAAACCCTTTCGTCTTGTGAGTTTTCCGTCTTGCGAGGCATTCGTCTTGCGAGGTACCACTGTAGGTTCTAGTTGTTTTAATGATTGGTCTATTTGACCGACTAAGGAGGTGCTGATGGAATGTCAGCCACACTTGAAGAGACATTAGAAAGACAATTTGTTCACTGCTTATTTCACCCAGCAGATATACATAGCTCAATAAAACGTATATTAAAACTTTTCTTCCTTTTTAAATTAAATCTTTGCGTGATACTTTTCTTTTTTCCTGATGTAGAAGCTGAATTATAGAAATGCTTGTGTGCGCAGCCATATGTGTAATCCTAGTAAGTGCCATGTAATAGATTCCTTTTTCTGTTTCAATGCATCATCACAGATGCTGCAGGAAAATGTGGTCCTCCACCTCCTGTTAAAAATGGAGACTTTCTGGGCCTGGCAACTTCGGAATATATGCCAGGGGCACGTGTACGGTATAAGTGCCAAGCTCTCTACAATATGCAAGGAGATGAATATGTACGATGTGTCAACGGGCATTGGACAGATACACCAACATGCATAGGTACAGGAAATTTCTCTAAATCTTTGCTTTTTCTGTTCTATTGAAGGATATTCAATAAATTCAAAAACCTGTGACCTAGTGGCACCAGTGTGGTGCCAGCAGTTGGCATTGTTCTATATGTGTTTTTGCTTTACTACACACTTTTAGTTACCCTCCATCCCAGCTCCTCCCATGAACTGCAGATAGTTCTCTCATGAAGCAAAGTGAGCCACCCACCAAACTCTGGATGCCTTTACTAATAATAATAGACAGCCATGTGGTCTAACAGTCCCCCAGAAAGCACAAGCTCTTTCCCTTTGCAAGGTTTTCCTCTCAGACCCTGACTTTCCACTTTCCTCACAGCTGTGAATTCAAATTCCCCTCAATGCCTCTCCCTGCAAACAGCTAGGACATCAACAAACTATTAGATGGGTCTCAAGGTTAATCATATCTATAACAAGCCTTCAAACTTCACGTTGTACAGTGGTACCTCTGGTTACGTACTTAATTCGTTCCGGAGGTTCGTTCTTAACCTGAAACTGTTCTTAACCTGAAGCACCACTTTAGCTAATGGGGTCTCCCGCTGCTGCTGCGCCGCCACAGCGCGATTTCTGTTCTCATCCTGAAGCAAAGTTCTTAACCCGAGGTACTATTTCTGGGTTAGCAGAGTCTGTAACCTAAAGCGTCTGTAACCTAAAGCGTCTGTAACCTGAGGTACCACTGTATACCCATGTGGTCTGCAGGAAAGTATCTCCTGCAAGAGTGTGTGATTGGAACTGAGTACTTATAAACTTCTGTAGTACAGTGGTACCTCAGGTTAAGAACTTAATTTGTTCTGGAGGTCCGTTCTAAACCTGAAACTGTTCTTAACCTGAGGTACCACTTTAGCTAATGGGGCCTCCCGCTGTCGCCACACGATTTCTGTTCTCATCCTGAAGCAAAGTTCTTAACCCGAGGTACTATTTCTGAGTTAGCGTAGTCTGTAACCTGAAGCGTATGTAACCCAAGGTACCACTGTAATGTTTTGGACAAAAATCAATAGTTTAAGAAGAACATTAACAATAACCACTTGTGGATACCATATTGTTCTTTACCCTAGATAAGGAGAAGGGACAGGAGATATCTTAAGGTTGTTGCCTCTTCTGACAAAATTTGGGCTGTCATTATTGTTATGTATTGAAGTGCTCACCCTGGCCACCAGGGGTATTGTGTATATAGTTTTCACTCAGGTCCACATCAGTTAATTTAGGCAGGAAACCCTGGGGTGTTGTTGTTAGAATGTTGACAGCTGGCTGCCTATAAAGGCAGGCCGGCTGAGCTGCTCAGTTCAGTTCAGTTCCAGCTTACTATAAAGAACCACTTGGAGAAATCTCTGTATCGTCTGCTTTGTCAACCCACTACTTAATAATTACTGGCAACCCTCACATCTTGTTCTGCTGTTACTGAATGCCCTGATAGGCCACAATAAAACATTCCTCCATGACTTGATCGGGGATGAGGGGGCTGACCTGCTATCTTCCTCACCAGGAAGCCAGTCCACCTGGGAGCCAGGGTTGAGTTGTTCCTCCTGTTGGGCCAGAGACACAAAACAGAGATCCTGTTGTTGTACTGTTTGATCTGATGTTCACCAGCCTCTCTGTTTAAGCTAGTGGAGATGATCTGGGGAGTTGTTCTGGAGAATCCCCAAGCACTCCATAGAATCATAGAGTTGAAAGGGATCCCAAGGGTCATCTAGTCTAAGCCCCTGCGATGAAGGGATCTCAGCGAAAGCATCCATGGCAGATGGCTATCCAACCTCTGCTTAAAAAGCTCAAGGAAGCAGAGTCCACAACCTCCCGAGGGAGGTGGAACAGCTCTTACTGTCAGAAAGTTTTTTTTCTGGTGTTTAGTCAGAATCTCCTTTCTTGTAACTTGAAGCCATTGGTTTGAGCAGAAAAAAACAAGCTTGTTCCCTCTCCCACGTGACAGCCCTTGTGATATTTGTGCTTGGAGACTTTATTTACATGCTGAGGCTGCATAGTCTAGACTGACTCAAGGACCTCATAGCTGCCACGACAACAGCAGGGGTCTATCAGTACAATGTGGGCCCGACTTATGTCATACCTTCAATTTGACGTTTGTCCTAAAGCAGATTGTGAATGTCCCATTGGTGGGAGCGGTTGTCACAGGTGGATTATGTCCTGGTGAAGTTGACTTTGTGGTAGCAGGTTTTCCCTGCAGTGGGGAGTAGGGGATCATTGGGATGGTCTGCCCATGGAAACCTATAGAACATGAGAGATTCCCTTTGCTCTGGGGGATTTCCCTACCAATGCTGTGAAGCCCCTAGTTTCCCTATGGAATGATGGGACAATGGAAGGACTGTCAATAAAATCACTACCAAGTGCCCTTTCTGTCACCCCACCAAAAAGGTCATGTTGGAATAAAAAGTGCTGAGGTCTTCTTGAATAACTTGGTAAACCACATACTGCTATATAATGTATAATAATATTGGTATTAGACCTCAATTCAGAAAGCGCCCAATTAAATGTGGACTGCTACTGATGCTTTCTTCATGTTGGCTGATTCTCAACTCAGAAAATCTAAAGCTTGTGACTCCCAATTGGTTTTAATGGGGAAAATATTCAAATTGCTATTTATTTATTCATTTGACAGAAGTCAATGAACTTTTAGGTATAGTAGGCCCCAAGCTTTACTTATTTTTCCTCCGAGGAGACCCACTGATGGGACCACATTATCAATCTCAATTTATTTCAGTGGGTTTGATTGAGTATGACTAACTTTGGACACAATCCAAAGAGTTGTTGTTTTTTTGTTTTGGTCAAGTGACTTCCTCGTTGTCAAATTAATCTCTTAGAGGACATGATTTGTGCCTTTCTACAGCTCCTTGTACAGCAACTGAAGAAGATATGAATCAAAACAATATACAGCTGAAGTGGAAATACGCTAATAAAATCTATTCCGCATCTGGAGACGTGACAGAGTTTGACTGCAAAAGGGGCTTTCAGAAAGATCCATCCTCGCCTCCCTTCAGAGCCCAATGTAGAGAGGGCAAGTTGGACTACCCAAGATGTATACCTGTAGGTACATTGCAGTTAAAGCATAATTACAGAAAATTCAACACACATAGCTGTGATTTTTGTTAAGCTATAGAAAGCAATGTGCATTACAAAATAAATGTCTTTGAAATTTTCTTGGTCTACAGCAGATTTTCGATTTCCCCCCCATCTATACCCGTTTTTCTCATCTTCCAGAGTTGTTCTCATCTTCTTTGTTGTTCATTATCTCTTATTTTCTCCTCTCACCTTCCCTTTCTTTCACTGTTTTCTCCTTTCTCTCTCAAAATCCTAGACAGAATTAAAATGAGAAAAAAGTAGTTCTGCTGCCACAAGTAAAGCCCAAATTAAGCCATGACACAATCCACCTTTGGGTATGAAATGCCACAAGTGTGTTAGCGCTTCCTTACTCAGCCTTTAGAATAAATTCACCAGGACCATTTAAACTTCAGTGCTCCTGGCAGGAGCAGGGACCGAGCAACGGGAGCTCACCCCGTCACGGGGATTTGAACCGCCGACCTTCTGATTGGCAAGTCCTAGGCTCTGTGGTTTAACCCACAGCGCCACCCGCGTCCTAAGGGAGCTGGCTTCGCAAAGCAAATAAAGTTCACACTTTTTAAATGTGCAGTTGCTGTGCAATCAGAAAGCCTGGTATTGGGTAAAATCATCCAGCTCCAAAAAATACATGGAAAACGATAGTATTATGTATTTGGGGTGGGGTGCCTGACTCTCCTAAATTCCCGGATCCAGGAATGCTAATCACGTTTAGCATTTTTAATAGATAGATTTAATATATTATTTTCTCTCTCCAGGATAACAGAATATAGTTTGGTAAAAAAGAACTGGCACTGCTATACCAGTGGCCGATGGTGATTTTAATTCATATATATTTGACGGGCCTATCAAAAAACATGAGTGCTGAAAGAAAAAACAGGCTTATGTAAGAGTCAAGGATAAAGTATGATATCCCCCATGAAATCCAATAAAATACTTTGCTGTGAAATTTAAACATATTTATAAAATCAGCAAGTCCTTCTTTGAAACTTCTTAACATATGCAACCAATTAGTTGTCTCTGAATGGCATTTTCCTGTGGTTCCTACTCCTAAAGGAGACATAAACCACAAAATTACTGGTGTCCAGTCGAAGCAGGGAAGAAGGAAAGCAAGCTTTTGAATTCTATTCATTGCCATTTATTGATAGAAATATCAATATAATTTAAACAAGCATGATTCTTTTGACTATATAATAAAATCATCTGTTTTAACATCTGGTTTTTCCATGTAGCAATATAATAAGCCCCATTATTTTTTCATTCTCTACCTGTCATTTTCAACTGAAGCTGAAATATCTGCGATAGTCTGTGTTATAATGATATTCAAAGTGGTTGATACATTATTTTATTTTTTTGCAGAGCAAAGTCGCAAAGTTGTAGCTGTATAATTGACAAGTCCTAATGCTATGAATCCACTAGGGCTATGATTTTTGGTTTGGGTGAAAGAGGACTCAGGTGCAAATCTCAGACAAGCCTCAGCTTGGTGGGAGAAGATGGATGCACCTGACTCTCTTAAGATGTTCTTTCAGGTGACTTTAAAAAATGATTAGACAAATTCATGGAGGAGAGGCCTGTGAATGGGCGCTTCCAGACTGTCACTATTTTCAGGTGGGATTCGATCACATACTGGCAAATCCAGGTCACATGGTGAAAGTTGATTTGGAAGTCTTGCATGACATACCTGCTTCCTCAAAAGATCAAACTTTTTGCAACAAGGAAAGTGGTCGGGAATGCCCTGGAAAGTGTGCAGTGACACTTGCTTTGAGGTAACAATATCTAAGCTTCCTTCAAAATAATAATAATAAATCAGAATGAATGCTCATTAAATAGCTAACGATGCCTAATCTTCCTACGAATAGATCAGAATGAATGTTCAATAAACAGGCTCTCTGGAAGCACCCAGGAACTATTAAACAGAATACCTAAAGAAAACCTTCACCACAGAGACAGCATAAATACCATCTGCTGGAAAGGTAGCAATCCTTTGTGACCTGAGTGTGGGTTTTCCAGAGGTATCTGAGACACTGTTGAAAGCCAAATTCTGGACTAAATGGACTTTTGATCTCCTCTAGTAGGGGTCTTCTTATGCCCTCAGTGTAAGTAGCAGCATAACTTTGATAAAGAGCACTATGTCGTACAGAGTAAATGAATATCTAAATAAGAATTCTGTGCATTTATAATAGCCAAGCATGTAGAGCAGATTTCTTTGTGCATTGCACACAGCAGCGTGCAAATAGTGCGCCAACAAGAGCACATTTTCATGTTCAGGTGTCAAAGATTTGTGCTTCCATTTTGATTTTGATTTTTTTTAACCCTCGGGTATAAAAATGTCTAATTGTCCACATTTAGATTTGAGTATGTACTTAAGAAAAGGCCCTTCTTTCTTTTCTTACTTCTGCAAGGTGAAGTATCTCGTAGGCAGAACATATGCATCTGGAAAGATACAGGTAATAATGCTTTTGAACTGGCGGAGCTAATTGAAACTGAAGAAAATCCCGACAAAAATAGCAAAGATGGCAAGGACTTTCAGCAGGTATGTGAGGAAACTTCCAGAGTCTTCCACCACTCGGATTCTTGTGGGCTTCACTGTCCTCTCCCACTGGGTCATGATGGCATTTCTGGCCCCGTCCCACTTCCCTGGTCCACTCAGGCGGAATTGGTAGGCGGAGCAGGGACCGAAGAAGATCTTCAGGGCCAGTTCTGGATCTTGGAGAAGGAGGGCTGGCACACTCGGTTTTATGCCGATGTAGGAAGCGAGTTGGTCCATGTATACAAGGCAATCTGTTTTCAAAACCTCGTCAAAGGACAAGCCGAACCTGAAGGAAACAATATACAAGGGGAAATGGGGAGGGGTGAAATGATTTGAAGCTGCGCATAACACAAGTGTGGACAAGCCCTTGCGCTTGTTGTGTGTTCATTGGTTTTGCCTTTCTTCCCACCCAACTGCACAGCAGCTGTAAGGTAAAAGGCAAAGGACCCCTGGAGGTTTAAGTCCAGTCAAAGGCAACTATGGGGTTGCGGTGCTCATCTCGCTTTCAGGCCAAGGGAGCTAGCGTTTGTCCACAGACAGCTTTCCAGGTCATGTGGGCAGCAGGACTAAACCGCTTCTGGCACAACGGAACACCGTGACGGAAACCAGAGCGCACGGAAACACCATTTACCTTCCCACTGGAGCGGTGCCTATTTTTCTACTTGCACTGGTGTGCTTTCGCACTGCTAGGTTGGCAGGAGCAGGGACCGAGTAACAGGAGCTCACCCAGTCACAGGGATTCAAACCGCCAAGCTTCTGATCGGCAAGCCCAAGAGGCTCAGTGGTTCAGACCACAGCACCAGTCTCCAGCTCACAGCAGCTGTAGCTGGGTCTGCAACAGGCTTTGTCAAACATGCCTTTAGCTGTGGCACAGTGGGCAGACATTCACATAGTTACGTCTGTAATGTGAAAATCTCCACCCCCTGTTTTCTAAAGATCAAACAGCAGCTGAAGGCACAAGAACATCTCAGGCTTTCTTTCTGATCAGCTGGCATCCCTCATGCACCTCCATCTGACCAAATAATAATAATAATAATAATAATAATAATAATAATAATAATAATAATAATAATATTATTTATACCCCGCCCATCTGGCTGGGTTTCTCCAGCCACTCTGGGTGGCTTCCAACAGAATATTAAAATACAATAACCTATTAAACATTAAAAGCTTCCCTAAACAGGGCTGCCTTCAGATGTATTCTAAAAGTCTGGTAGTTCTTTTTCTCTTTGAAATCTGGTGGGAGGGCATTCCACAGGGCGGGTGCCACTACTGAGAAGGCCCTCTGCCTGGTTCCCTGTAACTTGGCTTCTCACAGCGAGGGGACCGCCAGAAGGCCCTCAGCCCTGGACCTCAGTGTCTGGGCTCACCGTTGTCAGGTCATATGTAGGAGCTTACCAGTTGAGCTTGTTTTTCTTCTTTTCGTTGACCTCCTCCATCATTTCAGTCACTGGAGGCAACTTACACAAGCCTGGAAGACAGGAAGGATTTTTCAGTGAGTCACCTTTTTTTGAGGTTCATCAAAAGGGACTTTCTTTTTGCAGGGGGGGGTGAAAACTGAGCATGTGCCTTCCAAGCAGAAGTACAGGCTGTCCAATTGTTAGTAGCATCCATTTCTGCCTGGTGTGAGACGAAACAGGGTTTCAAACACAACACATTGCATGTGTGAGAGACCCCCTTCACATAGAGACAATCGTCCATCGATGAGGTGAGAATCCTGGTTAGCCTCGAAGCTGGGCTAGGAAAGCTAGTCTATTTCCCTCAAAATGCTTCAAAGAAGGTTCCAGATTCACCCCCAAGCATCTCCATTGGTCCATTTAAATCAGCGTTATCAACACCAACCTTCGCCTACTGGGTGCTCTCCAGAGGTTTTGGACTAGACCTCCCATCAACCCCCCAGCCAGCAACTGGAGGGCACCCACTTGGCGAAGGTTGGTGTTGATGATGCTGAACAAAATGGACCAATGCTTTGGTCCAACATAAGGTGGCTTTCAATTGCCCTATGGAAGTAGGTTTTTTTTAAAGCGAAACAGTGCTCTTATTACACCAAGCATCTGGAGCATGGGTAGGCAAACTAAGTCCCAGAGGCAGGATCCAGCCCAATCGCCTTCTAAATCCAGCCCGCGGATGGTCCAGGAATCAGCGTGTTTTGACATGAGTAGGATGTGTCCTTTTATTTAAAATGCATCTCTGGGTTATTTGTGGGGCATAGGAATTCGTTCATTTTTCATTCAAAATATAGTCCGGCCCCCCACAAGGTCTGAGGGACAGTGTACTGGCCCCCTGCTGGAAAAGTTTGCTGACCCCTGAGGAGGGAGCAGCAGCGTGGTGGAGGCTGCACTAAAACAAGTTGAAGATTATTGCCCTAATCTACATTATGGAAGGGACGCAGGTGGCGTTGTAGGTTAAACCACTGAGCCTAGGACTTGCCGATCAGAAGGTCGGCGGTTTGAATCCCCGCGACGGGGTGAGCTCCTATTGCTTGGTCCCTGCTCCTGCCAACCTAGCAGTCCGAAAGCACCTCAAAGTGCAAGTAGATAAATAGGTACCGCT